GCGTGTGTCCTTGATGTCCTGGGCTCCTGGAAGTGGGTTGAATGATGCTGGCTGTCATTCAACTCAGCAGAGGAGCAGCAACCAGGACAGGAGGAGGATGAGGAGTGCAACACTGGAGCATGGAGGAAATGAGAATACTAGAGGACCTTTTTATTTTAAACAGGAGGTGGGGAAAACATTCATGATGTTAGGTTTAAGTATAAATTATATAGCTAATGCTAGGTCTACTCCAATATGTTCTAAAATAGTCTTCTCTTTCTCAGTTTTATCTAACAGGAGTAAATCATACATGTGCTTTTATCCTACCCTGCATGTCATGAGACAATTTTGTACATTTGTCTCAAAGCACAAGACAATTTAAAATATTTCTTAGTTACCAACAGAGACACTTTTGATGCACAAGCCTCACTTTTACTCAGTAACAACTTCATCTGTTTAATAACTTCTCCAGAGGCTGATTGGTATAGGCAATGTTTTCACAAGTGAGAAAGAAGCTGAAATCCCCAGCGAGGGAGAGATATCTATCTCCTGCCATTGCGTAACACCATCCATTAGTACTGTACTGCTCACTTGTAAATGATGATCGCCTGAAGGTGTAAACAGCAGGTTCGCTGGATCTGTCCTTCGGGAAAGGAAGTCACTGTGGGTTTTCAGCATAACAAGTGAATATGCAGTCTCACGCGCCTACATTTACAGGTTTTTAAAATTCAATTAAATGAAATCGACCAAGAAAAAGAATCCGTGTAACAGTTTCTTTGACTTCTTTTTTTTAAACCACATTTTACTGACATCATATTTTAGAAAGTCTGTATTACACCGATCAAGAATAAATGATCTTCCGAAATGGAATTAAATAAAGTAAAGAGGTGACAGATGGCCTGACATTTTGTGCTTACGGGAAAAGATTTAACATGATCTCCAGACAAATGGTTAAGTACACAAATTAAATATTTATCAGGGAGCTGTTTTAACTGACAAACGATTTGTATTTTTGTCCTTCCAGTTCTGAGATTTATACAACTCTGTCACACAACAGCTCCGTTTAGCAGGGAAGGAGACCTCTACTGCAGTTTAGTAACAACAATTCTTGTCTCTGCTCCGTCCTGTGACTGGACAGTAAACAGAGAAGCAGCAGACTGCTTAATGAGCTCATCTCTTTCTTAATTTGCTCTCTGCTATCAGAATGCTCTTTTTGTCAGCAGATAAGTACTACAGCACAACTAATTGGCTGCTCGTGCTTCTTTCTCCCCTGGTTTTCATGTACAGGGACTGGAAGAGGCTGATACCAAATCGAATTCAAGTACTTACGCCAGCATTTCTCAACCTTTCTTTTTAGTCACAGCACCATTTAAAGTATGCAAAATCTCAAGGCACCCCAATCTATCATTGATTTTAAGGGGGACCCCATGCAAAAGTGGGTTTTCCACTTCACATCAAAGTGCTCCTTCAAATCAAGATTGCCCCCCACGCACATCAGAGTCACCCTTGGCATCAGTAGCCCCGCTTCACATCAGGGACCCCCTTTCACATACAAAGCTCTTCTTTCATATTAGAGTCCCCTCCTTTCACATCATTGTGTCCCTTTTACGTTAGGAGCACCCTTCATATCACAGTCTTCATTCCCCCCTTCACATCACAGTCCCACTACCACAACATTTTGAGGCACCCCTGAGGAGGCCATGGCAGCCTGGTTGAGAAAGACTGACTTACCCTGCTTGCAATGAAAAATACATTTATTGTGGAAGTGTCCTTTTCAAAAAATTGCTAACAGGAAGACTTTTTATAGCAGTCTCTTCTGCCAAAAATCTCTTACCTTACTGTCAGCAATTTTCTTTTTCTCTGTGCACTGAGCTGCGCATGTGCAACTCAGTGCATAGGCTCGGCATGCCAAAATGAAGTAACTCCTGTGCGCATGCGTGGAAGTTACATCATGCCGGCCAACCAATCATGAGGCTGAAGACGATTAACCTGGAAGAAGACCGGGAGAATATGGCAGCGCCGGTGATGGAGAGGAAAGCGGCCAGCGCTGGAGGAGATGGTTTACATTGTAAGTCGGCCATATTGTTCTAATATGCTGTACTTACTGGCACGGTATGGCAAACACCGCCAGGGGGCTTTTTTTTTTAAACCCACTTTACTTCCGCTTTAAGGATGTATTAATGATTACAGAGCTGCACTATTTGTGTCTTTTATATCTGCGCGTAGTTCTGCTTTTTCTCCATTTCTCCATTAACAAGCTTCCTAGATTGGGGGAATGCCTATTAATAAGTTGCCTTATTATTTTGAATAAAAATGGGGTACATAGAAACCTTCATATGCACTGGAATAAATTATGAAAGACTGCAGTTTACTAGTGAAAAGGTGATGTTCACATAGTGATCAAAGTTGCACCATACTGTTTAATCACACGTCTGATTTGGAGAACATGATTTTTCATAGACTTGGCAATACGCATGTATGGCCCGAGCTGTCAGAACCTAAGAACTGAGCTAAACCTGTTTCGTGGTGGGGTACCAGTCATACAATGATGCACTTATGGTGAATACAGTCATCATCTAGTCTGATATGATCGTAGAGTATATCCACCCCACCTTCCAAACATCCAAAAAGATATTGATTGGGTTTGCAGGGATGTACATACTGTATGTGTCAGTGGGCCCTCAGCAATAATATTAGAAGGCCGTCTGCCTCTCTGATCTCTATCACAAAATCATTCGATTGGTACAGAATACTATTTGCTTTCAAAGCATTTATATAGAAGTTCCCAAACTGTCCATTCATTCATTTTATCCATATGTTTGCTAAAGCCTTGTTGATGCAGGCTTCATCCTATATAAGAGTAGTGTGTACAGCAAGCTTTTGCACAGCATTTACAAATCCTATGGCAAGCTTCAAGCAACTTTGTTGAAGCCTTTAAAGCAATCTTAAAGCAGAGTTCCAGACAAAAATAAATACGTGTAGGCCAAAGCCCATTAAAAGTAAAAATAACAAACCAGCTTTTGCTGCAATCTTCACCTTCAATACAAAGGTTTCCCCAGCGATACTTTTCTTTTGCCCCCTACATGCCCTTAGCCTGATGGTCAGCATTATTCAACGCGCTTCATCTGAGCCCAGGTTGTCTTGGACCCTCCACAGCCTGTGACTGGACAGTAAAAGGAGAAGCAGCACAGTGATGAGTTTATCTGTCACTTTCTCTTCTTGTCAGCATGCTTCTTGTCAGCACATGAACTGACTGGCTCTTTGTATTGCTTCTTCCTCTCACACTACTACCATACAGGTTCTGCAATAGGCTGATACCAGGTCAAATTCAGGAATTCACACTGCTTGTATTTTAAAAATGAATTTAATGATCTATCAATCATGACAGAGCTTAATTCATGTGTGTCTTTGATATCTGTCTAGAATTCAGCTTTAAGCTTTAGTTTAGGGAGGGTTAACTTAATGGTAATGCTGTCACTTTAAATATGCTGCAATATGGCTACAAAAACCCCTCTGCTGCTGGGCCCGATAGCAGTTGCATGCGCTGCTTTGGCATCCATGTGGGCAACAGAGTCTGTTGCATGCCAGTCCATTTTCCAACTAATCTCATCTGTAATTGGTCCATATATTGGTTCTCTTCTCTTAGCATGAGAAAATATGATCAGAACGTTTCCTTCCATGCCCAGTCAGGATCTTTCCAATGAAGAGGTAGTTGCTCTTTTCCGTTGCATATAAATTTGCCAGACAATTGTATAAAAACAAACACAATTGGGATACATTAGGGGGGCGTTCATTAACCTTCAGCTTGCCGGCATTGCCGCCAGCGGCAAGCCAGAGGAAACTAAAGACAGAAACCGTATGCTATGCTTCAGTGTGCGCATAAACAGTCTTTACAGCTTCCTTGCTGGCAGGTTAATGATAAAGATTTATACAGACAGAGCAGGTCACCAGGATCACCATCTGCGGCTGCGGCGCCTGCGTCTCTGACTGATATAACGAGCTCGGCAGCGCAGACATCTGCTCTCTGCTGGGAGTCACACAAACTTAGCGTGACTGCAAGGCTAAGCAATGGGAACTCTTGTTCTTGGGAATTAAGATGCTAAAGTACAACTTGACACTTCTTAGATGTTTAGATGTCATACACAATCTATCTATCTATCTATCTATCTATCTATCTATCTATCTATCTATCTATCTATCCATCTATCTATCTATCTCCCTGCCTGCTAGCAGCATTTATTTATAAGGGGGTGCGCTAATTTGCCCCTTTTCAGCCTCTCATTGGCTGCCTATTCTCTTGTCACCATGTGCTCCATCTATAAGCATCTGCTTCCATGCACATCCAATGGAATTCACCAGTGTAAATTCACCTGCTTTGCTGTGGCAAATCCTGTTAATTCCAATGGATATCGGTCTATTGGAAATAACAAGCATTAGCTTATAGACAAAGCTCTCTAGCCCATTTTATTTGTCTTGGATATGGAGTTAAGAGTATGGAAGAACTTATCAAGGTTTTTTATTGCTGTATGTGTCCCTGCTGGGGAATTTCACCCTTTCTATTTGTCCTAGTGACCAGTGTCTTGAGACAGAAAGTGATAGGAAATGTGCATTTATAGGAGTCCAGCTGCCTTAATAATCTTCTCCAGGCAGCAGTCTGATTGCCTCAGTCCTGGAGGTTACAGCCCGCTGACAGTATATTGAGATATAGTCGGTGACACATCTTCCAATGTATATCTCCCTGTACCTGCCTGTATACTTGTCAGAAAATCACATACCATCATCCAACATCAGCAGTCTGATTACATGTGTAATTGAGAGACTAGGATACTGACACATCCTATCAAGGTTCTATTGATGGATTACTGTTAGTAACACAGGAATGGTTAGATGGAGGTGAAGCATAAACACTGACATGACCTGTAGATGGAAGATTTTCCAGCAGCATACGCATGTCTACAAATACCCAGATATGTACATACAAAGAACTAATAGATTATCCTGTCTGTTGTCGTTTCATACAGGGGAGCCCGTTGTACCTTCAGTCCGATCGAAATATTACTTTAAATATTCTCAACGAGGATATGAAGCCTGTTACTCAGCTGGTTACAGGTAGGAAATAATAATTTCTGCCATACTCCTGTGTCCTGATTAGATGGGAATTTACCAAGACTCTCTAGACCACATGTGTCAAACACAAGGCCCGCAGGCCGAATCCATCCCACCAGGCCATTTCATGTGGCCCTTGCACCTCTCCTGCAGCTTACATTTTTAAACCAAAGCCAGCGCTGTAAAAAGGTGCCAAGCTTCACAGGAAGGCAGCCGAGGTCCCCAGCAAGGTCCCGGCAGCCTTCCTGTGAATCGCGGCGCCTGTGTACAGTGCTAGCAGCAAATCTCCTCCTTCCTGTGGATCCACTCCACCCGCACAGCCCTCCTAAGACCCCACCCAGCCGAGCATAGACCCCACATAACCCACCATAGATACTGCATAGTCCACCATAGACCTTGCATATCCCACCTGAGAGTCCGCACAGCCCACCACAGAACCTGCATAGCCCACCATAGACCCTGCATAGGCCACCACAGAACCTGCACAGCCTACCATAGACCCTGCATAGCCCACCTGAGAGACTGCACAGCTCACTATAGAACCTGCACAGCCATCTGAGAGTCCACACAGCCCACCACAGAACCTGCACAGCCACCTGAGTCCACACATCCCTCAAATAGAACTTGCACATCCAACTGAGAGTCTACACAGCCCACCATAGAACCTGCACAGCCACCTGATAGTCCGTAGTGCCCATTACAGACCCCACATTGTCCCCCTGAGAGTCCGCACATCCCACCATAGAACCTTTACATTTACATAGTCTTACAGATACAACCAGTCTTTTGAGGGCAACCATAATGCTAATGCGGCCCGCGATTACATTGAGTTTGACACCCCTGCTCTAGACAGAGAAAAAATGCAGCTTGTCCATCAGTTATCATGTCTGACGTTTTATGTAGGTTGCCATTGCTGACCTCCTTCTGAAAATAATAGTTGCTTGGTTGTCATTCTGATGTTCTAATTTTAACTACTTTCTGAGTCGCCAATCTAGATAATGTATTGTATATAACAAATGAAGTCCACAATATGGAAGCCAAGGTTCATTATAGCAGTCAAGCAAGTAGCAGTTTTCAGAAGGAGGTCAACAGCTGCAGCCCATATTTTACTTTCAAGAAAGGTTTTTGATAAAGCCCAACTGAAGCTCAAAAATCAGAAATCATGCTCCCTGCTGATTGGAGAGCTCTAGCTCTGACTCAGAAGGGCGCATGTCGGACCTCTGTGGAGAGACCGCCACTTCCACACAGAGAGCAAGGGTCCTTCTCTACAGCTGCTGACATTGGAAAGGGTTTTCTACTCGGGCTGTGGCTGCTTTTCAAAGAAAATTAACTGTAAGACTTTGAATGTATTAACCTGATTTAAACTGCAAGATCAATTGGGCTTTAAAGTGAAACTCCCTTTTTGTTTTGAACAAATGAAAACTCTTGTGTAAACTGTATGCCTTGCAAGGGTTTTGGCAAACCTCACTCAAGATTCATACCTACTTTTTTAATATGGACTGACATAGTCCATGTCAGTACTTTGGTGAATATGAGTGCTTACTGGGGTGGTCTGCCTAATGTATTCTCTTAATGGGTCCCATTACTGTAATAAGAAACATGGCATTCCCCTTAGATATGCAATGAATGTGAATGTATCACCCAAGATAAAAGGCTCGCTGCTGTAATGCAGAATGCTGGGAATGCTTACTATATTGTTTCGAGCTCTGAGCAGACTTCTTGGCAAAGCAATAATCTCATTCTGTAAGCAGGATATAATCTTTCTGCAAAATCCTGTTTTAGTGAGTACTGTTGCCATTAGGTAAGGAAAAGAAAATTGAATTATCTGTCAGTTTTAAAAAATCATAACTGGCTGCAGAATAGCATGAAAAGGTTATTTTTAATAACAACAAAATACAAAGTTGCATGCACAGCGATTATATGTTATTTTCATTTTTAATAAAACATGGATTTTGTTTAATATTATGAAGGATTACAGGCTATTTAACACAGCACAGCTTAAAAATGAGTTGAACAGTTTATCAGAATGTACACATGGATATAACAGAGGTTTTAAAGTTTGCCTGGAGTTCTGCTTTAATGGCGCTATTTCTCAGAGTGACAGTCAGTGAGCGTGCAGCGGCAAGATGATATACATCTGTAATTTTTACGTGCAGTAAAGTATGAAGTGGTAACAGCAATTCACATCCTATTCTTTCATTCTGTTACTGCTTTCTCTGGCAGGATCAGAGGGTATTCAGGCACGTGGAAAGAGCCTCAAGGTAACGTCAAATGATGGGAAGCTTTTGTTTTCTGCAGATGAGAAGGAAGTGGTTGTTGGAGCAGACAGATTACGAGTTTTAGGTAACGCTTACATTTTTATTTTTTTTCGTTTAAATAATATTGCTTCTGTTAGTTCCAATACTTTGGTGCTTTGTCTGATATCATAGGTATATTTGAAGGAGGTGATTTATCATTAAAAAAAAGGAAGTAAAGTGTATCCAAAGTCACATTTTTTTCACTTTGGATAGAGAAATTAAAGGTTAAAACACCTGCCAGGTTTTTTGCCATCTGTACACATTGCAGATATTTCCCTTCACTTCCTGTTCTATGGGCCGAACAGGAAGTGAGAGACAATCTCTCCAAAGTGATGTAAAGCCCCTGTTAGATACCTCAATAACTATCTAAGCACTCCTGACTGGATAAAAAAAAAAATACAGGATGGGTGCTTAAAATGACAGCGGATGCCGCAGCGAAGTGAGTCCAAATGCAAAAAAAGTCACTAGCACTCCAGTGTATATACTAGTCAATATTTATTGACTTCTATAGTGTCACATCATTGGCTATGATGATGTGACACTATAGAAGTCAATAAATATTGACTAGAATATACGCTGGAGGGCTAGGGACGTTTTTTGCATTCCTCTTAGATACCTGTCACTAGAGCAAGTGTGGCAATTGGAAAAGATCCCCTCTATTTGGTTCTGGTGAAAACTCACCATTTTGGATTTTTCCTCTCTTGATCATAGTCACCACAACAAATAGAGAGAATACATCTTCCTAAGGAATCTTCCATTATGGTGACACAGACAGCAAAAAAACCTGGCGTGACCAAACTGAAGAAAGGGCCAAATGCAAGTATTTAATATTATATCCAGTTACAGTAAAAAGACAGCCAATGCATTTCCAAAGCAGAAAATACCCCCTTCATGAGGGCTGCAAACAAATGCATAAGACTACATCTAAAAAAGTTAAAGTGCATGGATTAAACAACATACCAACTAATATGGTAGCACAAACCATTGGAAATAACTGAAAAATGATTAAAACGACTCTGTTTAGCCTATCATTGTAAGATGGGGTCATGCAACTCTAATACTATCATTCCATAGTTGTATGGTCCCAACGACTCATAAGACTGAAATATGAAAACTATGGAATGATAACACCATGGATCTAAAAACTGTGTATATACAGAACAATAAACAGTATAGTGTGTTGTTGATTTTCGGCTAAAGCACACGGTCATGTATATCAGCAGAAAAGTTACAGTAAGACAGAAAAGCTCCAATTTGTATAAAGTTGGATATAAAAAAAAGATTAACACATAAATATACAATGACATCTCATCAAGCCACGCAGAGTGCTATCTTTTGAAAATTAAACTGATATACTGTATAACACAAAAAAAAAAAAAAGGTAACAAAAGGAATCAGAGCTGATCTTCCAATAGACATATTCAAGCTAAATAAATACAACTGATTGGAATACAAAACCAAAGACCAAAAGGAACTTGATTACAGCTGGATTTCCAGTGTGATCCTAGTTTAGGTTTTTCATGGGGAACTGCCAAACCTTAAAGGAGAACTATGGGGTCAGGGCTTTTCCCCATAGTTCTCCTAAGGGTCACGGGAGAACACAAACTAGCGTTCTCCCGTGACCCAAAGCTCAGTATACGAGCTATACTGAGACGCCGCTGCCGGAACGGATCCCGACAATGCTGTCTGGATCCATCCAACTGTGTGAGTGACAGCTGGCTCTGCCTATCCAGAGGCAGAGCCAGCTGTGCCCGCCCCCTCCCCATCTGTTCCGCCAGTCAGCGCTGGAGGATCGGACAGGGGAGGGGGGGGGGGAATCCCTGCGGGGGGCCATGAGTCACGGCTCTCTGCAGGGATAGATCGAGAAGTGAGCGAGCGACGGTATGTGTTCGCTCACTTCACGATCTACTGAGCCGACCTGTGACAGTTTCATTGTCACAGGTCGGCTCAGATTATGAGGCTGAGTGAAAATCACTCGCCTCATAATTATCTTTAATGATCAGGCTCAAGAATTAACCTCTTTTATTGTCTGAACATTTGTTCCCAGCGCCTCCCTCTTACCTTTTTTTGCAAAATAATTTTCAAAATAAAAACCTGACTAACCTAACTTTTGACTACTAAAAAAAGAAATGTTGGCTTTAGATACACTTTAAAGGGAATGTCAATGTTTTGGATGGAGTGGGAAAAGGTTAGTACCCCTATCATGTTTTTATAGCTGTCTGTGTATGTGCACATAGGTGAAATTGTACTTCCTGTCCCAGTGCCTATAAGTAAGAACAATCCTCACAGTGAATACACAGAAAGCTGTAAAATATTGACAGAGTTTTTAACCCTTCTCCACTCTACTTAAAAGAAAGTGCTTTTATTGTTTTCAGCATTACCAACAGAGAGCTATCCCCTTAGTTCCTGTCCCAGTGACCACGCAGGAAGTGAGGACCATCTCCCCAATGAGGACACATACAGTAATAAAAACCCTACAAAGGTCCTTACGCTAAAGCAATAACATTTTCTCTGGTGTTCTATTTTAAGCTAAACTACTGGGCACCAGTGTATTTGTGTATAGTGTTCTGACTTTTTAATGTCTGGGGGGTGTTGTAAAATCCTAGGAAGTTTATGCCACTGAAATGTAATCACCTTGTGGCTAATAAAATCTAAAATTAAAGTTTAAACAAACAAGGTGCAGTGAATTAATGGCAGATACAAATTGGTTGGTTGTTTAGTCACGCTTGGCTGAACTCTGCCCAGTAGCCTATATTTGTTTTGGTACATTATCGGTTGCTGTAAATGTAAGAGGTAATTGCTAAAGATCCATTTGTGTTTGGATACCGATGGGCTCTTGACTAATCATAATAAAAGTAATAATACTTTGTTGTCATTGTATAAAAACATACAACAACATTTCCATTTCCATTCCCTAAATGGTGTATCAAATAATGAATACAATTACATATCTATAAAAAAAACATATATGCATGAATAATATTAAACCATTATAAGAAAAGAGTCTATATCAGGGGCAGTGACTTAAAATTCAAGGAGGTCCGATGATTAGAATTTTCATCAAGCAGAGGTCTGAATCGCGGTCCAGACCGAATGGTCACTCAGTTCATGTCAATACCGCAGTCCACCATTTAGGCTACATTCACACCAGCAGCTGCACTGCAACACACAGCTTCTGGACAGCTGCGGGGGGTTAGGCTGGTGGTCATGGGAAGCCTTCCCCTGCACAGAAAGGTGTATGAAGCCTGTCAATATATGGAGGTTTCTGATATGTCATCATGTCACCACACACCCAGGTCCAGGTGTTACAGGTACACTTATAAGGAGGATCTGTCTCATTGTCCTAGAAAAACTTGTATTAATCGAAATATATAGGCTGCCATCGCTGATCTGCCTTTCAAAAATGCTAGTTGCCTTGCTGTTTCTGACTTTAATACTTTGAATCGCTAACCCTGAAGGAGCTCTCAGAATTTTGTGTCTGAGTCAGTATTCATAATCTGCGTACTTGATTTATGTCAGAAATTCATTGGCAGCCCATATTTTTCTCATTGTTCAGGCTTCCAATAAAGTAACCATGTCACAAGGGTCACTTATAAAAGAGAGCCAGCCATGTTAAAAAAGCCCATCTATAGTTACTTTTCTGGTGGCCTGAGTCTTGGAACATCACTACTTCACTGCTCACTGACTGCTGCTGGTATTCCACACTTCCAGATGTGTGAATACCTGTTACTCCCACTACATGCAATGGTTTCTTCTGTCGGCTTGTATATCACTACAGGACATACAAGCCACCGGAACGAACCACTGTGTGTTATGGGGGAAACAGGAATTCGACCCTTTTGGAAAAGTGAAATACCTGCAATGGCCAGGGAACAGTGAAGCAGCGGCATGGAAAGGCAATTATAAATAAGCTTCTTTCACAGGGCTGACCTTTTTTTTACCTGACCCTGTGGTGACATGGTCATTGTGCTCGCCAGACTTATATTTGACCCAGTGGGACTCAAAACACCAGACTGGGTTAGACTGCCGAGTTGGAACATCTACGCAAAAGTCAATTCTGATAAGACTTTAACGTTCATATGGATGCCCCCCTTGTATGTTAACAAACTATAAACAGAAACAAGCTTTGTAAAATGTTACTTTCGATAATAGGATAATTTGCACTAAGCTGATCACATTCATATATAGTATATATTTTTTTTAATAATGGACATGACATTTTAATAATGGACATGACAAATTTGAATTTCTCTACTCTAGTAACAACACGCCTTAACACTAAATAGACCTGCTGTGTGAGATCCCTTTTGCCAAGACAAGATGACAATTCCCTGCAGTTGGATTGGGTCTTCTTGAGACCACAGGCAGTCTTCTTCAAGTTCTCTTAAGTTGCATGCGCAGAGAGAACCTTATAGAGTAGCTTGTCAGTGTTATTGAATTCCCAAAATGATAGCATCTCTGGTAAGATGACAATTTGAAAAGGAATCTCTTAATTCAAATCTTATCTTGCACCCTCTCTTTGACAAATTACTTCACGGAATATCTGACAGTTGTCTGCGGGCTTGAAAAAACAAGCATACTGTATTATTAGGATGCACTCCGGTTTGAAATAAGTTAAGATATATATGTGTGTGTGTGTATACATATACATACACCGACCAGCCATAACATTATGACCACTGACGTTTGAAGTGAATAACATTGATTATCTCATTACAATGGCACTTGGAAGTGGGTGGCATACATTAGCCAACAAGTGAACATTTTGTCCCTGAAGTTGATGTGTTGGAAGCAGAAAACATGGGCAAGTGTAAGAATTTGAGTGACTTTGAAAAGGGCCAAATTGTGATGGCTAGACATCTGGGTCAGAGCAACTCCAAAAATGCAGCTCTTGTGAAATGTTCCCAGTCTATGGTGCTCAGGACCTACCAAAAGTTGTCCAAGGAAGGAATACCGGTGAAAAGGTCACAGGCAGCCAAGGCTTATTGATGCACGTGGGGAAAGAAGGCTGGCCTGTGTAGTCCGATCCAATAGAAGATGTACAAT